AAATAATAGAAGAATTTCAACTATATGCAACCCATATTTCAATGAGAGCATCTTTCTTCCCACAGCTACCGGATACTCAAAAGCCCAGAGAAGCTGGCTAAAGTCTGGGCCACGTCACCGATGTTTGGAACCATATTGGGCATTGACGCGTGTGGAACCGTGAGGGTGGGAGAGAAAGTCCTCGTCAAGAGAGCTTCGAGGAACCCAAAGTGGCGGTACTGGAAATAAACGTTTCGAGCGACGTTCGAACCTTTTTGAGGTACACGGGCTATGTGGTAATGTTACTGTCAGTACTGAGGTCTTTGTGCAATTGATTAATATTCAGTAATAGTGTATGTTCTGCCAAACAAATATATGTATAGACTTTATATGTAGTTTTTTTCATCTCTTATACATCACAAAAGTAAGGTAAATGCATGTAAAGATACATTTGCAAATGAAATGCAATTGATAAGCAAAATAGTTCCTGGATATATTAGAAGAAAAAAAATTCCACTCACCACGGTTATTATGAAAGGTTAAAAACATCCTATTCACAAATCAGTGTCATGCATATGTTTGCTATTAGACCCTTAGATTTAGATTTTTAGGTTGACTTGCAAAAAAAAAGTGGCCAGTCACTCATAGTACACTACGTACCCTGTGTCATGGACTAACTATACCTTGTTCTAATTATCATGTTCTAATACATGATAATTCTACATGACTATCGAAAGGTTAGTTGAGGCAGTTCACTTACATCATTTCCACTGAGGACTTATTTGAAATGATCCTTTATATAGTCATCCATAAAAGTCTTACCAATAAATCCTTTTGATCGGCGCAAGTTAGACAAGGCTGGGGACGATTTATCGCGTCTACTCCTCAGACCCAGTAGTATTTAAGAGACTTTAGTGAATATGAGATCACAGTGAATCAACTGTGCTCTTATTTTGCTTTTATGTGTAAGATGTGATCGTCAGTGTGTTTCAAAACTACTCTTACGATCCTTGAAACATGTGACATGAAAATTATGATTCTAAAATCCTAGGTGTTATCCATTTAACTGATGTTTGATTGTAATTCACTTTCGTTTTTTGTATACGTGTATGTATATAATGCATATGTCCTGTCCTTGCACTGTTAACTACCCACTGTAACCAAACCCAGACACTGGTGCGATGCAGTTCACATCACCAGGAAATTGCTGTAAATATCAAATGTCTTAGATATATTCCTTGTGTCACACACACACACATATATATATGTGTGTGTGTGTATAATATATCTATAACAAGTATATGGTATTATTGATGAATTTAAGATATTTTTAAAAAGTTTTTAATTGGTTTACAATTATCTATAAATCAACACGAGACTTTATTGAGGTAGTAATAGTTATAAAAATAAATACATGCGCGTGGAGAATGCTGCATCCGACGAATACAACATATATATAAAGCAGATTATTAACCCAATGGTGCTGGGGAAAATGAACAAAAGATGGGGAAAATATTGTGCCCACTTTCTATGTTTTTCCTGAAATGTCTGCCGATAGATGACTCTGCTAGCGCCTGATTTAAATGGCGGGAAAAACGTATTTTTCACTAGCGATATGAAAATCAATGGTGTTATTTTTATCATAAACATTATTATTATTTTTTTTTTTTTTTTAACATTAGTAACAGCAAAATAAGATTACGCAAAATATTTTGTAAATCAAAGAAACGGGTAAACGGCCGAGACGGGCGGTGCTCGTAACAGGCTCATTGGTGATTTAGTACAAGTGTTGCCATCTATGCGTAAAAACAATCAAACAAGTACTCACGGTGGGCATAGCACGTACGTACACGTCATACCCGGCACCAAGGGGTTAAAGCCAGAACATGTACATAGCCTAGGCAGTGTTTTTAATCCTGTAGTAGAGAGACGGTCAGTTCTGAAAAAGAAATGGCAAATGGGAAAAGAAATGAAATCATGTCAAACTTTAAAAAAATATATATTTAAGCTATTTCAATATCATACCGTTTTTTGTTGTTGTTGTTGTTGTTTTCTTCTTTTATTTAGTTTTTTAGTTTTACTTATTAGAAACATTATATACTGGTAGATTTTTTAATGTTTTCAACATTCTAACATTTCAATGCCACAAGGTGTTGTTGACGCGATCACTAATTTCAAGTAATCACTCAATCAATCGGTCGCTCTCCTACCTAAATGGATTGATAACCTAAGAAAGTGGAGATGAAGAAGCGGGAAACAAGGATGTACAGAGTAATTGCATTTTCCGAAGCATAATCGCCGTCCATCCCCCATAAATAAATAGAATAGGGAAACATTACAAAATCTCTGAGAGGAAACAAGAAACAAGTTTTCCGAAGTTTACCCCATCCATCCTTAGCCTGCTGGTTTCAGGGAACAGTTGCATTATTAGTATTCACTCATCACCTATAAGCATCAAATATAATGCACTCATTAACTAGTTTCCAGCTACAGTCCATCTGATATTAAATGTTTCCAGTTCTCCCTATATAGTAGCTTACACAACACACTAGATAGAAAATCTGGTTTGTAATTCTTTGGAATGTACCAGCCTCCGCTCTTATATACGTTTGAAGTTAATGAAGAATGTAATTTTACACTATCGCTTTAGCTACGCGTGTGATTTGCAATCTATTTCGTGCAACTTACCCAATTAACCATTGCACACGTTCTTCTTCCCATTCAGCTAGTCTACCCACCCCATTTTTTGTATAAGCATTACATTTTCTGAAGAGGGATATAGGCTGTGAACGTTACTATAGAAGTTCCGGTACCTCGGAGACAAAACGGCCTACTTTTGTCTAAGTGATTTCTTCACATTCCTAGTACTTTTCTGCCGCTGAAGCCCTGCTCCTAAAACCATCTGCCACCTTTACCTCGATTCCCAATATGATATGTCCTTGCGTATGTCTGCTAGATTTTCAAAATTTGCATGTTGGTCACCAATACATCACTCCATTTTCTACAAACGAGTTTCCTGAAATTCTGCCGTCTCTCTTTCGGTTATCGACAAATATTTTTTTTTTATGAAACTAATTATATGTCATGGTTGCTATGCAGTAAGGATCATGTTATTGAATTTATTCCATTTATCCTGCCTTTCTTCATTGTTTCTTCTTCTTCTCTATCGCACTTTATTTTGATTCTCTTGTTCATTTCATTCCTCGACGCACCAATCCCGGTATCATATCCACAGAAGCATAGTGTGTTGCCATAATTTTCCCCAACGTGCATGGGAGGAGAGATGGACCTCCCAGTTCTATGAGTTCACAGACTAAATTTGGCTATTTCAATAAAAGATTAAACGCAAAATGTTTGTATAAATATTTTGGTGCTTTTACATGTCTGTATACATACGTATGTATATATATGCATATGTGTTTGTGTGTGTGTTTGTGTATTTGTGTGTGTACATGCCTATATTTTTCTATAAATTCATAAACACTCATATATGTGTGTGTGTGTGTGTGTGTGTGCATTTATATATATATATATATATGTATATATATATATATATATATATATATATATATATATATATATATATATATGTATGTATATACATATATATATGTATGTGCATATATACATATATGTATATGTCGAGATCGATATTAATATGTAGAGCATGTAGAACTGTCAAACCCCACAACTCATCTACATATTCTTATCTTAAAGGCAAATCAATACAGCAAAATTTGGTATATGAATTCAGAGTGAATTATGATAGTTATCTATAAAAGGTTTGTTTGTTTAAATCTTCACAATGTATCGAGGGGGAAGGGAGTAAGCAGGGATATCAGAGGTCGTTGCTTTCATCTCCCACACAGGTATGTTGAGTGCTGGGTGTTAAGAATCTTGTTTTGCCCAGAAATTGAAGGTTGTAATGTTTTATAAGTAAATGATTATAACTGTTGAATGCATATGAATTCAACTATGTTAACACGTTACCTGTGTTATGACAAAACCAAGACTCCCCTCTATCACGAGTCCTTCACAACGCTCTAACGCTAATCCCAGTGAAGCTATGAGGAAGAAAACTCGTATGTTTTATTGTGCTTACTTTTCTACTCATTCATGTCCCTTGCTAATGTATGAAAACCAAGACCATAGCCAATCTATGTATAAAAAGGAAAAAATACATTAAATATATACTTTTTTTTTATCTTTGCACCACCGGTGTACCAATTCCCAATAAGGGCATATCGTTAGTGGTACACATGAGGGCCAAGACGCGGGTAAAATGAGCTGAGTCATTGCTTTCATCTCACAGGCTGAGTCAGAGGTTACGGAAATTTTATGGGAGAACAGGCTATGATTCCGTCAGCTCAATATATGTATATATATTTTATCTCTTTTGGCATGGATACAATGGAATTAGTCCAAGGAGATAATTCTGAATAGTGTCAAAGAATGAATTGGGAAAGGAAAATCATGAAAGAAGTGTGAGATTGATCACTTGTTCGACCTTGTAAAATAACAGAAAATACTAGGGAGTGTTGGGTGATTCTTTCGATTCCGCCTCACATGTGTTTTTTATTACATTTATCATAAAGCCTAATAAGTTATGACTAGTAGGCAAAGAGAGGGTTCAAGTTAAAACTAACCATGACTTTGACTTGATTTAGTAAAGGAATATTTCTGTTATTTTCTGATATTTATCATTGTTGATATTAAGCCCATTGTAATAAGCCAGTTTAGTATTGATTGATTATAGAATAAAATGAATAGGTTAAGACTGTTTTTATGACTTGCATTTTCAGCATACACTCAGGGAGGAAATAAATTTATGCCACTCCACGTGCCTTAAGACCGTTTGAGTCATGTTACTCAAATTTAATAAAGTAACATCTATGTTATTTATATCAAAATTGATCTTGACAAATCCGCAGCAGTAATTTGTGTTTATGTGTGTTTTTGTTAGGGCTATGCTTCTGTTTTTTTGTTTTTTTTATGCATTTCAGAGGAATGAGACCCATGTCGTCTGTGAATAATTTAATCATTACATAATCATACATTCTTTGAATAGCTCCATACTTACCGAAAATAGAAATACATGAAGAAACAGTTGTAAAAAGTACTGACACAAATCATGTTTATCAACATACACTAACATACTCGTTTCCTGTTAAAACAAGCAGGTAAAAAACACACATATCCCTACATGACAAGGAGACGAACAAGAAAGGATGCGTCACAGGGTAATCCTTGAAGTTTAGAGTTTAGAGAAGACGCTCAAGAACTCTTAATACCACTCTTTATTTTTTTTTTAGATTAATCTGATTAGACCAAGACAGCCAGCCGTGGGTTCTACTGGTCTCACGACATTAACTAATATTTGGGATTGATTAAAGGGGATAATACTGGCTGGACACTGGGCAACTCTCGGCCTTTATGAACCTCTGCATAAATGGAACTTGAATGGCTAAAAAGGAAGAGGAGTTTTGCTTATATATAATTCAAAATGGAAAGAGGAGGGAGAGTGATATATAAGTAATATGAACAATCATAAAACAGGAATGAAAGAGCAAAAGAAAGAAAATTTGAATAAAGTAAGGAAAACACTACAGATTCTGAAAATACAAAACACAAATCCAATTCAAATGCAGAAAATATTACAAGGACTAAAAAATCGAAAAAAAGAAAACAAGTTAAACACATGTAAAATTCAACACAAGGAATGAAACTCACGCCCAAAATAAGACAATCTCACAAGGCCTCGTAGAAGAGAATATGAGCATTTTCGTTCCCTATAACACTATGATCCTCTTTGGGAAGCACTGTATTATCATTACACAAGTGCCACCCTGCACAACCTTCTTCACTGGCTTGTCCTTGTTTACTTTGTCTACAGACTGAAATACAATGACCGAATTTCATGGTCCCTTCATGGGCACATATGCCATAAATGCTGTATTTTCTATCGCTGAAATTAGAGGAAAAGGAGAGGATTGATTAGCTTGCGTTCTCTAATTCGTTTTAATGCGTTTGTGATACGGTTAACATGAGCAGGCTGTATTGTTATTGCTGTCCATATAATCAATGTCATCAAATTTAGCTATCCTTTCTCATAATCATTAGTAACAATAGTGCTCAGAGACAGAGGGAAAGGCAGAGAAGACACTCACTTGCTAAAGCCACAGAATTTCTTCATACAGTCAAGAGTCTCCGGGAACTGTACGCCGACTTTGGGTGCGTGAGGGTTTTGGACGTTGTACCTGAAGTTAAGAAGAGGTGTTAGGAGTTAAGTATATGTGTAATCCATGTATGAAATACTCTCTTTGCTCACTATATCCCTTCCTACTCCTATTTTCTCATCCTTCTCTCTCTCTCTATCTATCTATCTCTATATTTCTCTCTCCTGCTTTCCCTTTCTACCTCTCCCTCCACCCCACACGCCTTATTCTCTCTTCCGTAATATCTACCTTCTCACTGTCTCACCCACCTTTTCTCTAACATATTCCCCCAACCCTCGCCTTCTCTTGCTGCCCCCCCCCCCCCCCCCCGTTGCGTGGAAAGTTGAAATGCGAAGAAAAGGCGGGAGGTGGAGAATGATCGCTTTCCTGCCACCTTTCCATTCTCCTTCCTCTTCCCTCTTGTTATGATGAAAAACAAAGCGAAAAAAGTAAGGCGAGAAGGATTTCCTTTCCTTGCCTCCCTCTCTCTCCTCCGCCCCCCCCCCCCTTTCCTCTTCTCCCTTCCCCCCATCTTCCTCACCTGCTGAGATGAATGATAAGGAACGGTGGAAGACGGAGAATGATTGTTTCTTGACGGCATTTGTGGTTCGACCCGCACAAATCGCAGTCCCATTGTATATACTGAGGTGTGTAGTAATTCGCCAGGAGTGTCTGAGGAAGAGATAGAATGATGTATCAGTCAAAGCGAAACCAGAAGTCCAGGAGGTTGTGTCAGGTATTTGACACTCGGAGTAAAACGTTTTTCATGCATATAATTTTTTTCGGGTATTACTGTTAGCATATAGTGGCCTATAAAGACTGCAATTTCTGAAAGTAAATGAGTTTCTGGTTCTCAAAGGGCACAGGAAATTCGTGTCATCTGCCTACATTTAAAAGCTTGGTCGGGCAGGATTTATTGACACAACTGACGAAAAGCGAACGTTACCTCACCACATTATAATGTCCTTCACACACATTTTGCCCTCATGTAATCCTAATTAGCTAATTGCATAAAGTCCACGAATAGCAAGATTTCCTGTTTGAACCTTCTGTATTGTCCCAAATTTCCTCAGAATTTTCGGAGCTTCCATTTATATATAATATATATATATATATATATATATATATATATATATATATATATATATATATATGATGTGTATATATATATGTATATATATATATGAATTTATATATACATATATACATATATATATATTTATACACAAACACACACACACGTGTTTGTATATATAAATATATATATATATACATATACATGTACATAAAGTTATATACATACATATATATATACAAGCACACACACATATATATACACGAATGTGTGTATATATACATACATATACATAAATATATACACACGTGCATACACACACATACAAACATATATGTATATACAAATACTGAGTATATATATATATATATATATATATATATATATATATATATATATATATATATATATATAATATATATATATGTATATATATATATATATATATATATATAAATGTATATATATATATATATATATATATATATATATATGCATATATATGTATATACATATATGTATAAATATGAATATATACAAACGTACATACACACACATACACACATATATGTATATACAAATACTGAGTATATATATATATATATATATATATATATATATATATATATATACATATATATGTATATATATATATATATATATATACATATATATGTATATATATATATACATATATAAATATATATATATATATATATATATATATATATATATACATATATAAATATATATATATATATATATATATATATATATATATATATATATATATATATATATGCATATATATGTATATACATATATGTATAAATATGAATATATAAATACATATATACATATCTGTATATATTCATATATATATTCATATATATATATGTATATATATATAAATATATATGTCAAAATCCTTATTTTTCTCTTACGGGACAAGAGCCTTCCAGTCACCATAAAGTCTCATTTTATATCCTTTTCATAGAAGTAAATTTTGGTGAATGCAAAGGTGACCTTACGGATGGACGGAAATATTTTTAGAGAGAAAATAATTTGAAGAAATTTACCAGTTGTAAGTGTATTGTAAAAGGATTTGCCGTAGGAAAAGTTACCACGCAGAGTGACTTTGCATTGTAGTTCAAACATTAATGAGGATTAAAACTCACAGTAAGATTTTTCCTTTGAATAATAACAATTGAGAGTGAAATAAAGCAAAACATTTGTATTACTGTGTCTCAAAGCACTGATGAGCAATACCATAAAGAGGAACAGAAGAAGTAGAATAATAACTGATAAATAGAGTAATAATTATGGATAAACTCAACGTGGAATAAAGCAAGATGATTATATTTTTTTTTTTTATTCTTCTTTTATATTTTTAAGCAGACATGGACAATACCAAGAAGAGAACGAAAATTAGTGTATAGAGGTACTTTGGCGATCCCTCCAGCGCGGCATTCCTTACCTCCAGGTCTACGCCCTTGCTGGAGCACACAGCGAGAGTGAGGTTGGAGTGCGACACGGTCTTTATGACGATCGGCTGCTGACGTTTCTCGCAGGTGATGACGTTGAGGTGTTGGATGTGGAAGTTGTCTGAGATGACTGAGGACATGGCGTCTGAGGTGCGGTTGAGGTCATTGGATGTCTGCCGGTCAGGGGGTTAGAGTATGATAAAGGTGGGGATAGAAAACAATGGGAAGGAGGAAGAGGGAGGGACGTGCTCTCTCTGAGGTGAATCTGAAATTTTCTGGAGGTGAGGGAGACAGGCTGCGATAAAAGTGTGGGTAAGGAAATGAGAAGACAGAAGAGGAAGAGAGGAAATTACGGTTACGAAATTACGAAGGCCAGTTCTGGAAGAGGAACAGGAGGAGGAAGAAATAGAGGGAAATGAAGAAAATACTGAGACAGCAGAACACAAGGCACTCTCGAGGGTTCGAGAGACGTGAGAACATGGATAGCCTATAGGTATGAAACGTTAATAAAAATAACAAGATAATTTGAAAATAGCCATTAGACAATGTAGTAATATGGAGAGGGACTGAGGACTACAACCGGTGTGTAAGAAAGGGTTTGAGAAGTGGAGAAAGGCTAGAGAAGGATCATTAAGAGTAAAGAAAAAAAAATTGGTGAGACGATAAAGTACAAGCTGTTCCCGGATACAAGAATTATAAGGGAACCAGTCACCATGGAAATTCAATCAAGGGGAATTCAGTCATTAAAAACGCATCTTCTGTTAGCTAATAATTGCCATCAGTGTCAAGATAAAAACTTTCAAACAACTCAATGAAATTGTTTTTCTCACTGATGCTGTAAGCATCGCTATACACTCCTTAGTATGAACATATTAGAATGTAATATCATTTTAAACAATTCATAGGGGCTTATGAGCTACTGTTATTAATCATAAATATTAGCATAACGGACTGCATGCATTTATGTGTATATATATGAGAAAGAGAGAGTTAAGCAACGGTCACACTAGTTGCCTATAGCGAAGGATCCTCGGATAGGCACGTCATGTTCAAGGCGGGATTGGTCACACTACAGTGTCCCCCGGGAGAGAAAAATCGTCCCAGAAAAGACCTTAGTGTCTAAAATAACTTCCTGAATGTACTACGTATCGAAGATAATCGTGGATTCGATGAAATTTCCAAGAAAGATGACACTAAACTTAGAAAAGCCTGTCCACTTATTTTATTGATTATCATGCATCATAAACCGTGCCCGATATTTCAGCAGAATTAGGTCCTACAATAAGCTTTTCAATAATATATGTCGCTATTAGGGTAATCGATGTACAAAAGACATAATTATGGACTGATAAAACCTAAAGTTAGGAGGAACCAAATACTATAACTCAAATAGAATAAAATATGATTTATTGTCAGTCATGACACAGCCTTGCCAGCTGTATGATTATACAGCTGGCAAGTTTCTCGCTGATTTCATTCCTTATTGTTATTGTTAACTTTCTGTTATTCTTATGTCTGTGCTGGTATTCATTGGCTGTTCTTTGGCTCTCACTTTATCCACCAAGGAATAAATAATTTTCAAAATGAGCTCCGTGTCTCCAGGGTGTCAGAGTGGGTGTGTTTGTATTCAAATGAATGTCAGTCTGTTGTAATAACTGAAATATATATCACTTGTTTCTACAGTATAATTATACCTAAAATGATATAATCACCGCTTAGACGATCAAGCAATAAGCTTCCTAGTAATTGTACAACAGTTTTGCTTCGGTATCATCTATCATCATCTAGCCAGGGCAAAAGACCAACACAGCGGTTCCTACTTGGTGTCCATTCTTAGAAGGGGAAATATACACTCTGTGAGGGAATCACCATACAGACAAGACAAGTGTGACCGCCCCTTATGAGAGAAAAAAGTGAGGCCTTTAGCGAAAGCAAACACCTAAGAAAAAGTCAAACGCCGTCGCCGCCACTCACTCTCGCGAGGTCCGAATGCAACCAGCCCAGCGTGACGCCCAAGAAATCGTGCGGTTCCTTCTGGCCGTAGTCTCTAAGGTATACGTCAAAGACACCGGATATTTGCTACGGGAGGAAAATGGATGCAGTTAGAGGGGGGGGATGGTGGAGAGAGAAAACTAGAATTTGCATCTCTGTTATCCCTAAGCAAAGAAAAGTCAAATGTCGCACTTGCATATGTGGCTAAAGAGAAGCGAAATCAGACCGAAAGCATCTTGGGTACCACATTTCGTGTCTGGTTCTGATTTGGTTCCATTTCTGTCGGCCTCAACTAACCTTCATGCGTGTGACCGCATCGAAGAGGTTACGCCCCTCGGCCATGGCTCTTACCAGCTCGCCATAAACTGTGGCAACCCTTCCTTGCTGTTCGCTGTTGTAGTTGATGTTTTTCCTGTTAGAGGAGGAGATGCGGGAGTTGTTAGTATATGAGAAAAAGAGAGGAAGGGAAAGGATAAGAAAATACTCAAGAAAGCGTCAACACTATTTCCTTCTAAGAAGAGGGTAACCCTGTGACTTGCTTTCTCTTTTGCTTAACATATCTATTTCATTTGTACTTGAAGGCTTTATCAGATTAAATTATTAAATTCATTTTTATTCCTTTTTGCTCATAATACTGTACTCTCAATCTATTCTTTCTATACTGGATACGTACGGTTAACAAAACAGCATTGCATACATTAGGCCTCCTTTCTCAAGAGCACAGCAACGCATTCCTACTTGTTATATATCTCTACACATAAAAAAAACCTCTGTCGTTTCCCATTCTCTCGAAATCCGCTTTCTTTCCTTTTCACTCACTCACTACTCTCATCATTAGATTCGACTTTTGGCCTTCATCTAACTACATACCCAGTGAGTAGCCTTGGTAATTCCGACCATGGATCCATCAACCCGTATCAGTAAGGGTGCGATCACACGAGAGTTTGCTCGACAAGTTGTCAGAAATACTCACTTTCATAAGCATCTTTGTCAGAGGTTCAGTCAGAGGGAAAGGGTAGTTTAGAACTGGCGATGCGGGTATGGGTGCAAAGGCTGTGGTCTTCTTAGAAACAATTACGCAACTGCACATGCAATTTTAATAATATGCATTTCAATCAGTTTGACTTTCATAACTATTGCATTATATAACAATATATTTCTCAAGTTTATTTGGTATGTCTACGCGGAATTTCATATCAAAATGGCCGTGATAGTATCCCGGTTTACACAAGCTGAGTATGATGGCGGAGGTTGTCGAGATAAAAACCTCACTGCCAAGTTTGATAACAAATTGAATGGGTTAAGCATTAGCTTTCTTTGCCCGTGTGACCAGCAAGTTGGGAAATAGCATATAGGTTGGTGGCAACTACGAAGACTGAGTAATATCACAAACTTGTTGAAAAAATGCTGGCGTGGCCATAAGCGAAGTGGACAGGGCAAGATCCTATAATGTGCTAAAAGAAGAATACTCAACGACACATACAATAATAACCATTTATATTTCATCTCATGCGATTCTTTAAATAGATACTGAATTTTATATCCTTTTATTCTTTAGTGTCCTTATCATTTTTATAAATTCATTTAAGAGTATCCGTGATGTCTTCCTGATTACACGGTGCATATTTCAAGTTTCTCAAAATAGCTTCCCTGTATTTATTCTCGAAGTTCTTGCAACAGATTATTATACATATTTCTACTATTTCTTCCTTGCAACAACGAACAAACCCACATACGTGGTTTTTTGAAATCGCC